AGATGGTAAAGTTGCGTCATATTGTGATATAATAAATATATATTTTAAATCTTGTCCGTCTAATCACAATAAATTCTTATTAAATATTAAAATATTACAATAATTAACATTTAAAATATTTAAAATATATCAAATGATGTTCTTTATCGAAATATTCGATTTACATTAGACCATCATTATTATTAATATTATTATTATTGTCACACTTCTTCACATTCTATAATAGTATAATTTACTTAATTGATTTTAATTATTTTTCAAATATGCTGGTATATTTATTTGCAATTTTCTTGTGTATTAACGTCCTCCGTACTAAAGTATTTTAATATTCTGCTAGTTTTACCTTTTATGTTTTCATTGTGTTCGTGTGCTCATCTCTTGTGCTGTATCTGTAATTGGCTTCCTGCCTGTTGATACAGAGCACTAATAATAAAAAATTGAATTGTATTGAATTATGATGTTGTTAGAGACCATTTCAAATGCACACCCTGTAATTAATTAACTCAACTAATTACATGATGCAGAATTCTTGAGAAGCTGATATTTGCTCATAAAAATGTAGATTTTTCCCTGTTTTACGAAATAGTAATTGTTCATCTCCGTGTTCTTGAGCCAGTTTAATCCCGTCCACACTCTCCTGTCACTCCCAAATGATCTTTTCTTATTAAGTTTTTATTAATTGCGTATAGAATATCATTTGTACCATCCGTGCTGCACGTCCCACCTATCTTGTCCTTAATCTAGTCTCACTTAATAACATTTTATGTAGAATACAAATTCGCATAGCTCCTAATAATTTGTGTTTATTCATCATCAGATATTTAAATGCCTGCTCCTCAGATAGTCATATTTTGTTCTCCAACTAACGCTTCGAATCTCTTTTCTCTGGTTGGACGTACCAGCCTCATTCTCTGCGTTGACTTCAGAGAGAAATGGGTATTATATAATGTCTAGAAACGTCTGATATTTAAAGTTCTCACGGCGGCTAGTATGAAGATGGCTGACTTCTACGTAGACTGGTAGAAGTCTGTCGACGTTTCAGAGTTTCTTCCTGCCTCCATCATCAGGGCGATCCTTTTGATGAAGGAGGGAGTAAGTCTTCTGAGCCTTCGATAAACGTGTACCAGACTACACGTGGTAACAACGCAGAAGACAGCTATTTTAATTTTCAAACTTGTTCATATATCTGGCCACACCGATCCATTCATGTACGTAAGTATCTATTAATTCGCCATGTCGTAGCCATTTGGAGGTCCCGGTTTCGATTCAGGGAACAGAAATTGAATATTCTGACTTCTATCGGGGTTTTACTCAGTCCTCTGAAGAAATTTCTAGAATAATTAGTCTGGTCTGACCCGTCAGTGTTGACGGGAATATACCTTGTTTTGTGTTAAACAATAATAAGGATTATTGGAATATTATCTTTTCAAATCGTATTGAAAGTACAAAATCTGTGATATTTCATTCCTGATGAAAGTAATAACAGGAAACCGACGTCCCGAAATTGGAACTCGATGACGTTAGTAACAAAATTCATGCTCCATACAAGCGTTATCTGAACGCGTTAAACTTGTCTGTTTTCATCGTTGTGAAGTATCAGACTCGGCCTGTCCGCGCTGTGAAGGTTCGTTTGTACGAGTACGAAGTGCATTCGGACATTTGCCCTTGCATTATGAGTGTCTGTCGCTATAAATGTGTCGGAATAATTAATACGTCGAAATGAATGTCTGCTGTTGACACGTTATAATTAGTTGTAATTACGAGTTACAGTAAAACTGAGCGTAATAAACCCGTTTTATAGCGCGTTCTTTATTTAATTTCAGCGATTAGGTTGTCGCAACATTCCTATTAATCTTATTATTACTATTATTATATAGCTCAGTCAGTATAGTGACTAGCTACGGGCTGGACGGCCGGGGTTCGATCAGCCTCCTATCCAATGGGTACCGGGGGTCCTTTCCCGGGGGTAAAGCCGGCCGGGGCGTGATGCTGACCCCTCAACCCCATCTAGTACCGAGGTCAAGGAAGAGAGAAGCTATACCTCCACTCACCCCAAACGCCTACATGGCGTATAGTGGGACAAACTTTATTATTAATAATAATAATAATAATATAAAAAATTCCCGTCAAATATGACTTTTTTTTAATAAAAATAATGTACGTTTTGAATCACAAATGGAAACAAATGCTGTGTTTATAATTTTGGAAGATTTTTTTTAAGCCAGAGGAAATGCAGTGAAGGGAATCGTCCTTATTTTTATCTCAATTTTTCTATCTCTTCGAGGAGAAGGACACACATTGATTCTCCCAGCCGTGCTCTTGCATATTCCTTGGGGATGAAAAGCGAAGGTTTAGGTTTACTGAAGCAGATGGAAAATGTATGCGGCATCCGAAGTAGTGCTTGAAATACGATAAAGGTTACATAAATACTGGATGCTGCAGAGGTTGGGGGGATTTCGACTGCCTTGTAATATCTGTCAGAAAAAAAGAATAAAATTTCGTATTATTAATTCACTCGAATCCATATTTCAACGAGTTCATTCATTTTATATTATTTTTTTTTCTTACGTATTGGTGGCCAAGTTACACAACCAGGAACAAAAAATATCGGAGTAAATATTTTAAACTGTAATGAAACCGTAGCAGACATTTCTGATAACACATCTCACGTATCAAATGATGGCCGGGTCTCTATATTCTCTAAATTTCATTGAAGTCATAGAACTGACTCTTTGATTAAATATATTTATTTTGTACAGTCTACACACAAACGTTTGAAGTTTATTGGTGTTGTAAAAATTATATAATATTAAAACATTTTGTTGTGTAAAATATTATATTAGCGCTCTTAATCGTAAATACGATTTTACATTATATTTTTTAGC